TATGAAACAAGACAAAAAGATAAGAATATGCATATAAGGTGGCTTCATAAAGTTTATTTAAAATGGATTTAAAAGATAATGGGATTTCCCCATGAATTTTTTGAAGCTTCCATGTGTATATGCACAGAGAGAGGATATAAACTAGGGCTTTAGAAATGCCTATATGGTGCTAGGAGAGCATGCTCTAAATTAGGCATTTCTGAGATTAGCATAATAGAATAGTGCATATAATCAGTTAACCATTCTGAACACAATGCACATGTTAACACTGGTTTTACCCAGGATCAACAGTTACACCTAAGATTTATGAGATTTAGCCATACAAACTCATCTTTTCAAAGTCCTGAAGTAACTCAAGTTTGCTGGGGTCAGGGGACTGTTAAATGGAAGCACTAATTTGCCTAGAGCTGCAGGATTTCTGGAAAATAAGCAAGAGAATCCCTGTTGGCTGAAATTATTGTCTTCCCAAAGGCTTTTCTAGATCCTCACCAGTTGAGAGTCTGCTTTTCTGTTATTTTACAAAACTTAAAACATTGATACATAAATCTGCCCTGTATTATACATAATTTCTATGTGACTTGTCTCCTTCCCTAGATTGTAAGCCTCTGGAGGTCAGGAAATGCATCTAAATGTATCTGCCACTACATCTAGCACAGTGCCTTACACTTATTTGCTATTCAATAAATAAATTAATGGAGATATTGGGTTGTAATTTGATGTTTATGAGCCTTTTAGATGAATTCACTATATTTTCTTTACCTTTTATAGTTTAAAATTATACCCCTAGAATCCATGTAATAAGGCATTTATCAAAACCTTAATAGCAACTGATATATTTAATTTGCAGCTAATGTATGGGTCTTGAGCAGCACAGTGTGGAGATACAATGCAAACCACACATTTTTAAAAACTAGTGGAAAAATGAAATTAAAAGACAATGGTAGTTTTCCATGAATTTTTTGTAGCACCCTTGTATTATGTATAATTTTTAGTGGTGGTGGTTATGTGCCGTGGAGTCAGTTCCAGCTCAGCAACACTGTAGGGTTTCAGAGACCAAAATCTTTTCCAGGAGCGGAAAGCCTCATCCTTGGTGCAAATGCTGGTAGTTTTGAATTGCAAACCATGAGATTATCAGGCACATTAAAAAAGTAAATTGATGAAATTATTTAACTCATTCTTTCCAAAATGCCATCTATTGTTAGGTGCAGTTGAGTCTGTTCCAAGTCGCATAGCAACCCTGTGTAGGGTTTCTGAGGCTGTAAATAGTAAGTGCTGTCCAGTCATTTCTGATTTATCGTGATCCTCTATAGGGTTCCCAGAGAGCAAAAAGCTCATACTGCTCCTGCCATCTAACTCATTTTGAATGGGATTTTTAGTATTCTTGTTTTTATGTGAAGTCTTCAAAATCTGATGTAGATTTTATATTTATAGGACATGCCAATGTAAACTAACCATATTTCAGGTGGTCAATATCTAATTGTAGCTATGCTTACTGTATTGAGTAGTGTAGGTCTACAACTTTAGGACAGACAAGTGACTTCTTTAGACTTGTTTCCTGTAAGGCACAGTTTTTTTTTTTTTAAGGTATAGTTTGATTTCATGTTTTTATTTTAGGCATAATCCAAATAAAGTTAATTGGTTTGACTGTTTTTTGTCACTTAAGTAATTCATAGAATTTTTTTCATATTATGTGTATATATACAAAGATACTAAAAGGGCAGTATAATTAAACCCAGTATAGTTCTCGAAACCTTAGGAAGGTGTCCTTAGAGTTAATGTAAAGGTTGAGATACGATTAAGTTTACCTTGCACAAACACAAAGCTTAGTAGAAGGTGGTTTCGAAATGAGGATTCTCTGTGCATATTCCAGATCTGGTCTACGAAATTTCAAAATATAAGGTTGAAAAATAAAATGTGTGTAAAAGTGAATAGGTTATAAGGTTAGAGAAAACATTGAATAAAAGGTTACTTAGATGAGATTGGTAGAATATTTTTATGTTTTATGGAGGGGGGTGGCTAAGGTGTAAATTTAGGTTATCTTCTTTGCTCCCTACCCCTACCCAAGCCTATGGCGCTGTGAGTTAATTAATGAGCTGGGCTGCAAAGTCGGTTTGAACTGCAAGTTGGGCGACTAGCTCTCCAGATGTTCCCTGGAAACCTTATTCAGAGTAGCTGTGGGTTGGAACCTGACTTAACACAGGAGTCCGCAGGTTAATATGCTGGTCAACAAGGTCGCTTTGAACTGAAAGGTAGGTGGTCAAGCTCAACAGCTGCTCCTTGAAAGCCTTATGGTGGTGGTAGTTATGTGCGTGGAGTCAATTCTGACTCTTAGCGACCCTGTCCTGTACAGGGTTTCCGAGGCTGTAAATCTTTACGGGAGCAGAAAGCCTCATCTTTCTCCCAAGGAACAGCTGGTACTTTCGAACTTCTGACCTTGTGGTTCCCAACCATTCAGGGTCGCTATGACTGGAAAAACGTACTCAACAGCAGAAACAGCAATGGTTGTTAGTGCCATTGAGTCAGTTCCAACCCATAGCAACCCTGTATAGGGGGTTTTCTAGGATCTGTTTGAAGCGCCAACCTTGCGGTTTAAACTGACTGCAGTTTAGCGCATTAACCCGCAGTACATATTCTAGTTATACATAGGGTAGCTGTGAGTCGGAACCAACTCTGGTAATTAACAACATAGTCTACTAGGAGCCCTGGGGTGCAGTGGTTAAAGTGCTCAACTACTAACCAAAAAAGGTCAGTGATCGAAACCAAATCAGTTGCTCAGAGGCAGATGTGACAGTCAGCATCTATAAAGATTTACAGCCTTGGAAACCATAAAGGGTTGCTAAGAGAAAGGACTCCATAGCAGTGGATTTGGTTGTGTAGGTTATTATCTAGTTTATTTAATACCGCTACTAAGAAAATCACATTAAGGGATAAAAGTCTTTTAGTTGGATGTAAAGATGTCTACTTTGAAAAGCACTGAAAACATTGTTTTAAAAATACTCAGCAGTTGCACAGCGTTTTCAGAATAAGCCTTTAAGGAAGCAGAGACTTTAAACAAGATTAGCAATATAACTTCCCAGAAAAGTTGAATACATTAACAATGGGGGTGTGTAATAACTAATTCAAAGACGGCTAAGTTTTTCATTGATGTTACACTGTAGTCTTTAAATAGTTCAGTCAGAAATGGAGCAGCAAGAGGTACAAGGGGATTTCAAAAAGTTCACGGAAAAATTCCATGATCTTTTAAATAGTGAACTTTTTGAAGTTCCCTCTTACATTAGTGATGTTAAGTAACATTGGTGAGAGTAAGTGAAATGTACATTATAGAATTTGTACAACCATTCTAGGAAGAAATCTTGCAGTATGCATCAAGAATTTATGTCTTTTATCCAGTAATGTACATGAAGTTGACCTTAAAGAATTAGAAATGTGCATATATTTATGATCAAGTATGCTAATCATAATAGAAAGCAAGTTAGTTAATAGTAATGCAACTGTTAAAGAATGATACACTCTGAAGAAGGAAAATAAAGTACCATCTGGACCTATGTTTTCGGAAAAATGACATGGTAATTTCTGATTGTCTCTCCACCCCGTAGTACTGGTGTGACGCTGGGGGTTAATGCGGTGGTTCAAGCTCACCAGCGACTCCTCGGAAACCATATACAGGGTCGCTAGAGTCTGAAGCGACTGGATAGCGCTTAGCAACAGCTCCACTTTAAATCCTAGGGAAGAGAATGAGCGCAGGCCAATGGTGTTAGATTGGCTTTACATCTCAGCTTCCTTAGCCAAGTGATCCAGAAGAAGATTTTTTTTCTACTTCAGCAAATAGAAATAAGCACTCGACCGGAAGGTCCGTTTGAACTTTAAGGTTCGCGGTTCAAAACTAGTCGCTCCTGGGAAAACGGTCTCTGAGTTGAATAAACTCCGACAGCACTTAACACAGTCCTGGTGCGGCGCTGTAGGATGAGCACTGAACTTCAAGGTCCGTTTGAACTGCAAGGTCGGCGGTTCAACTTACCAGTCACTTCTCGGAAAACTTACACAGGGTCACTGAGTTGGAACCGACTCGACACAACACTAGGAGGTGAGATGCGAATCTTTTAATATGCTTAGTTAATTTTTGCTATTATTAAGAACGCCTTCTTGAATACGAAAATAAAAATTTAGGAATGTGAAGAGTTAATAAAGGGGATCACGAGAAGAATGACATGGTAACTGCAGTCGAGTCAGTTCCGATTCATAGCGACCCTACATAGGGTTTCCGAGGAGCATGACATATCTCCCCAACACTTAAAAGTTTTGTTAGTCTCGCGGGTCTGCGTGAACTGAGCAGTACCTTGCCCCATGACCGCGCAAAAGATGCACTCTCTGGGTTGACTTTCCGTATTGCAGGACCATTTCAGTTACCTCCCATTCTTCAAAAATAAGGATTCAAAGGCACCTCTCGCTTCCTCTTTGCGTGTCACGCAAAGCTGAGCACGGCTTAGATCTGTCCTCACCCCGCAAGCGTGAGTACCGGGGAGAGGAGCGTGGCGCGTCGCGACTAGTCTCCAGTGGGCCCCGTGCAGGCAAGGCTAGGGCGGCTGCTGGAGGCTGTTTTCGTAGCGATTGGTCACAGCCTTCTCTCCGCAATGTAGAGTAACGTCTCGATTTCCATAAAGGACGGTCATCGGCGGAATCATCCTCTTCGTGGGGAGCCCGCGAGCTTCTCAGACAGGGAGGACGAAGTGGCGGCACGCGACGGGCCTCTTGTAGGGTGACAACCTCGGGCATGTCCTGAGGTCATGCCTAGACTTGCGGGGGTGGGGGGGCGGGGCGGGGAAGGTGGTGATCGCGCACGCGCAGCAGGGACCTCGGGGGCGGGGCCTTTGGCGACTGCAGCCAGCACGGACCGTCCGCCGGTCGGCGGCTCTTTGGGTTCGCCGCCTGACCGGCGGAGGGGAAACAGGAGGTGACTGGGGGTCGTCTCGACCTTGACCTCATTCTGTAGCACAGTCTCAGCCACAGGGAAGGAGATGGTACCCTGGGTGCGGTCGATCCGGGAGAAGCTGAAACAGCGCCTGCGGCTGGACGTGGGACGCGAGATCTGCCGCCAGTACCCACTGTTTTGCTTCCTGCTGCTCTGTCTCAGCGCCGCCTCCCTGCTCCTCAACAGGTAACGTAGCAGCACGCAGCCAAATGTGGCTGCGATCGGCGTCTCGAAAGCCGTAGAGGCCAGGCCCTTGTGTCTTTCCCGGGGCTGGCTGCGAGGCCTCAAAGGAGAGGAGCTCAAGAGAGCGGCCTCCTGGGAGCTGGAAAGAGCGTCGGCCCGGAAGTGCGAGCGGTAGGGGATTTAAGTATCTCCCATCCCAAAGCTTGATTTCCGAAACTGCGGCCTCGATCCTCACGTTCTTTTTGCCGGTTTCTTAAGGCCTAGTTTTCCTCCGTCAACTCCCCTCCCTCCCCAAGACTGAAATACTCAGTATCACTCGTAGCAGACATTACAAGCAGCTGACGGCGGAGGGTTCAAGGTTCGCGTTGTTGTCGTAGGTTTACTTAGACTCCTCTTCGTCTTTACTGCGTACTCCACTTGTAGACACAAGTCTTAGAGCCAGGGAGCTTTCCTCGCGTTGTTTTTGGTTAAAACGAAAGGGCATACAGGTTTGTTGAACCTAAGTAAAAATCAATATAGTTTCTGCCGCAGCATCCCTGTTCCTCACGATATGACCGATGGCAAAAAAGAGTTAAAATCATCTAAAAAGTGTGTGTGTGTGTGTGTGTGTGTAATAGTAAATTCAGTTGACATTTTGTAATCGAGGGTACTTCCGCTGAAATAAACTTGTCATTGATTTCCTAGATTTTGCTTTTCCAAGAAATGGTAGCACTGAAAAAGATGGAGGAGGTGGTGGTTTTCTTGGAACTTTTTTCCAGATTTGCTTTGGATGGGGAAGAAGCCTGAAACTTTTGCCTTGATAATTTCTTCATGCTGTTTTCTCTAACATTCTTACTCCTTTTTTTAAGGTTTTCTGCCCTAAATAGGAAGGGGGACAAGTAGAAGGAATTTGGTAATTTTGTTGTAGGATATCTCTTGTACTAGACTAATGGTGGTTTTCACCTCTAGCTGCTTTGCTTTCTTGTTAGGTGATTGTGGGTTTAAATAATACTGGGTTTAAATAAAGATTGTTGTTTTACTGGGAAGTATGCTTTGATTGTGTTGGTAAAATGCTTGATTGTAGGAAGGTTGAAGAAGTGGAACCTATAACCAAAAGAGTGGAAACTAGTTATTAAGTACTTACTTGCTTTCTGTCATCTGGAAAGTATTCCAAGCTAGACTAACAGGTTTCATATAAAAGAAATGTAAGCTTTATATTACTATTAAGTTTTTTCCCCCCAGCGATTCACATCCATCTCCCTTGAGAACTGGGTCAATTCAGGTTGCCAAAGTAGGACAGCCATGTAGGCGAAGTCTAAACAATAGATCTCTGAGATTTACGTCATCTTAGCATCTAATGTTCTATGTTTTTTGTTGTTAAGTGCGGTGGAGTGAGTTCCGGCTCATAATGATCCATTATGGGGTTTCCAAGGAGTGGCTGATGGGTTTGAACCCCTGACCATGTGGTTATCCAGCAGCACCATACCATGAGTCATAAAATGTAAATTTGTATACACTGTCTGATCTTTGCATTGTATTGATATTATGCAAACAACAAAAAAGGAAGTACACATTTTGTTTTCTGTTTTCAGAGAGTGGCTGGGTTTTTGAGTGATTTAAAAATTTTTTTTATTATGATTTGGGTGAAAATTTACAGAGCAAATTGGTTTTCCATTCAACAATTCATACACAGTTTGATTTATGACATTGATTGCAATCGCTACAATTTAACAACATTCTTCCCTCTGCCTACCTGTGTTTACCATTTGTCCTTCTTGCCTATTCCTTCCTGCCTTTTCAGCTTTCTCCCTAGGCAAATACTGTGCTTTTGATCTCTTATGGTTGATTGTTCTAAAGTGTACATACCTCTCTAGTGTTACTGTTCACTTTATAGGCATGCCTGTCATTTGGTTAAAAGTTGTGTCACGTGAGTTCAGTTCCAGACCTAAAAGGTGTTTAAAGGTCATAATATGGAGCTTTTCACAAGTCTCTATTAGATCAGTAAGCCTGGTCTTTTTTATGGTTTTGCATTTTGTGTCTACTTTTTCCTGCTCTTTTCAGGACCTCCTTTTGTAATCCTTTTCAGAGCCCTCAGCACTGATACTTGGGGCACCATCTGGTTTTGGTCTCAAGGTCACAGACAGAGACTGTGAGATTTGCATGATCTGTTAGTCCTTTGAACTGATTGTTTCCAAGGCATTTTGATTTTCTTCACGATTCTTTGCACTGAATGAAATTGACTTTGTATGTATTCTTTTTTGTCTGTATTTTCCATTTATTACTGTTGTAATCATTAAAAGTGATTTAAGAAGTCATGGAAAAGTCTTGGATAAAAGAAGGGTTGCTGTTGCTGTCAAGTGGTCCAGTGCCACTGAGTTGGTTGCGACCTTGTATAGGGTTTCTTAGGAGCAGCTGGTGAGCTTGAACCCCTGACCTTGCGGTTCAAACCTACTCTGCAGTCCAGTGCATTAACCCACATTTCCAGGCACTCTTTTTTTCAGGGCAAAAAGCAGGGTATATATACAGTGTGTTTTTCAGTGTATAGGTGTGTTTTTCCAAAAGCTTTTTATATAAGCATATATTTATATATGCTTAGAATATCTCTGGAAGGTTGTTATACAAGAATATGCCCCTTCTGTGAAGGGAGAGTACTAAGTACATTTGATTAGCAAGGTAAAAAAAAAAAAAAAAGTATAAATAATAGTAATAATAAAGAGCTTTGGGGGCATACAAGATGCTTGGTGATGCAGTGGCTAAAGAGCTTGACTGCTAACCAGGAAGTTGGAAGCTTGAAACCACTAACTGCTCTGCAGGAGAACTATGTAGCAGCAGTTTGTTTGTGTAAAGTTCTACTCTGCCCTATAAGGTGTCTGGGAGTTGGAATCAACTCACTGCTAATGGGGTTTGGGACCTATTGATGGGATTGGAATAGATGGTAGGTTATGCTCATTAAGTATTTTTCATAAATACATAGGCATTTCATCAGTTAATTTTTATAAATTACCTTAAGATCCATTTTCAGTTAAAAATCTGCTCTGGTTAATATGGGGTTTTGAAGCATTCTGAATTTGGAATATTTTCATTTTTAAATTATTTTTTTCCCTCAAATCTTGAACTTTTTACTCCTAAAGAGCCTTCAAGGTGTTACATAATGTATTTTTCTCTTTTATTGTGAATTAAGACAGAATCTTATCTGTAGAAAGATAAACTGATACAAGAACAAACAAATCTTTGTTGGAATAAGTATAGCCTAGAATGCTCCGTAGATGCCAGGATGGCAAGACTTTGTCTCTCAAACTTCAGACATGTGATCAGGAGGGACCACTCCTTGGAGAGGGACAGGGACATCATGTGTGGTAAAGTGAAGGGTAAGTGAAAAAGAAGAAGACAACCAAGAAAGTGGATTGGCATGGTGGCAGCAGCAATGGACTCAAGTATAATAACAGTGATGGTGAGGATGATGCAGGTTTTCTTCTGTTGTGCAGACTTATCAGTCAGAACACAACTTGATGTCACCCAGCAACAACAACAAAGGCTGAGAAGTGGTATCTGCTTTTTATTTATTTATTTTAACTTTTTATTGTGAACTTAGTGAAGGTTAACAGACAAGATCATCAGCTTTACATTAACAAATTATACACTTTGTTTCATCTCATTGATTACAATCCTCTCCCTGCAACAACAGTTACTCTACTTCCTCCATGTGGCTTCCCTTTTATATCTCATATTTCACAAATGAACAAAGCAAAAAATATTTGATGTACACATAAAAAGCAAAAAATATATATTCATTTAAATGTCCAAAGGGCACATTCTGCAAGCCAGCCTGCTGCCGACAGACACACAACCCTACTCAGTCCATGGTCCTAGAGCCCACAGCGCTCTATCTCTCCATGCCATTGCCTTTGCTATCATCTGTGCTGTTGAAGCTTTTCTAGGTAGGGATCTGATGCTCTACTCCTGCTCTTTCTTCTTGATGGTCCTAGGATCAACTGTTCCTGAAATGCAAGATTAACTATTCCCCCCTTTTAGTTACATATGCATCTTCTACAATTAACAGTTGTAACAATCACAATTAATCCTGCTAACAATTACTCACAATTGAATCATAAAATCCTATCAGCATCATTCCCTATATTTCCTTTCACCAGTTCTGTTTGGAATAGAGGGAAAAGACCACAGCCTTAGGTATGGATTGCATCTCAATGTCAAGAAAACAAAAATCCTCACCACTGGACCAATAAACGACATTCTTATCAATGGAGAAAAGATTGAAGTTGTCAAGGACTTCATTCTTCTTGGATCAACTGTCAACACTTGTGGAAGCAGCAGTCAAGAGATCAAACGACGTATTGCATTAGGCAAATCTGTTGCACGAGACCTTTTAAAAGGTTAAAGAGCAAAGCTGTCAACTTGAGGACAAAGGTGCGCCTGATCCAAGCCATGGTATTTTCAGTAACCTCATATGCATGTGAAAGCTGGACAGTGAATAAGGAAGACCATAGAAGAATTGATGCTTTTGGTGTATGGAGTTGGAGGAGAATATTGAAAATGCTATGGGCTGCTTAAAGAACCAACAGCTCTGTGTTGGAAGAAGTGCAGCCATAGTTCTCCTTGGAGGCCAGGATGGCCAAACTTCATCCCTCATACTTCAGACATATTTTCAAGAGAGACTAGTTGCTAGAAAAGGATATCATGTTTGGTAAGATGGAGGGTCAGAGAAGAAGAGGAAGACCCCCCAGCAAGTGTCAGCATCAATGGAGTCAAAGCATGGCAACAATGTGAGGTTGGCCCAGGACCGGGCAGCGTTTCATTCTGTTCTGCATAGGGTTGCTATGAGTTGGTACTGACTCAATGGCATTTAAAAACAACATTCAGTGGGGAATTCTACCTTTTTCCTCTCATTCTGAAACTAAGCACACTCATGAATGCTACCAAGGCAGCCACTTTGTGCATTTGTAGCCCCCCCCCCATTTTTCATAGCTAATGTCTAAATTGCATGTTCTTGTCAACCCAGTGCACTG